CATGGCTCAATCAAAGGAGCCTAGGTCACACTTCAAATCCAAACATGTTGAGAGGAAGTATCACCTCATTCGAGAAATCGTTAACAGAGGAGATGTGAAGATGTGCAAAGTTCATACGGATGAGAATATTGCTGATCCACTTACTAAACCCCTTCCACTACCTAAGTATGAGAAACATGCTAGTGAAGCTGGATTAAAGCAAATGATGTAATTAGAAGTTGTATTTATTTTTGGAGAAAAATAAGTTACATACGTAATACACTCATTTGCGGAATTATGTTTAATCAGAAATTTTATTATTTCTCTTATTTAATGATGGTTTTCAATATTAAATAAAATGTCCAAAATAATTATGGATTGATGGGCTCATCAGGTTGATGACCTGGTGAATGAAACCCCACAAGTGAACAAAATCCATATATTATTTAAGTTCCTGGTTCAGAATCATTAAATTGGACATAAATGATTTCTAATAATGGACTAGCATGTAAGATTGATTGGATAGCGCAGTTTCATGGGCTATCAGAGCATAGTGAGGCTCGGTCAATCACATGGATATGCATGAATGATGCATGATCGAACTATAGACCTACTTTGAAGTTCAAGTATAGAACTTCCGGATATATTAGTGGATTCCTTTGACATGAGTGGAACATTGATTTCATTCAATGGATGTTATGGTTGTGGTACACTCAAACGTCTGCCCGTAACTGGAGATTATAAAGGGTGTTTCCCGGTTACTTCTGAAATTGAGTGGGAGCTTTGGTTTCCACAAGATTGGATTGAGTCTACCTATTTAATTAAGAATGTGTCTTGGCCCCTTGAAGAGGGAGAATTCAGAAAATGCATGGCCATGCTCAAATGGATTACACAGTAATCATTTGTTTTGTAATTCTCACTCAGTTTTCAAGAAAAGATTTGTAGACTAATATGATAACGACATGAGATGCAATCATATTATCAAATCGACACACATTGACTTAAGGAATTTGAATATTGCGCACTTGTCTCAGACAAGTGGGAGATTGAAGGAGTTATGTCTTCGATAAGTGCAATTACTAGATATATCAAGGATCACTATTATGGAGATAATAAGTTCGTTCTCTTGGGGCGTCATCATCTGTTGCTAGACTATGAGAGATGATCTTTGGGCTAGTAAAATAGCCCAAAGCCCGCTAGAATGGATCCTATGAGGTCACACACAAAGGTATTGGGTTAAGCAAGTAAAAGGCCCATTATTGGGCCTTATGAGTATTTAGCTAATCAAGAATAGGATTGGGCTAGTGTAGTTTGATTGGGATTAGGAATTGGGCTTGGTCATGGACTCTTATTTATGGATATGATCTATAAATAAGATCCATGCCTAGGGTTGTATGACACAAGAGACACAATCAACTTACAGTGAACTGTGAATCAAGGCAACCAAATCCCAAAACCCTCACCTCCCTCTCTCTCTCTCACGGCAACCCTCTTCCCCCCCCCCCCCTTGGACTTGCGGCCGACCACCCCTGGTGGTGTTCGCGGTGGTTTGTGACTATTTCGTTGCTCATACCTCTCCGTAGAAGGTCGATTGAAGAGTTCGATCGCGACTAACTAGCATGAGTACGCACTACTACATTTATGATCTATTGCAACCCCCAAATCCGTTGCATTAGGCATCAAAATCCGTGGCATTAGGCCTAATGCAACGGCCATGTACCATGGCATCTACTGGCGTTGCAATAGGTCTAATGCAACGGCATATGACACCTAATGCCACGACACCAATGATCCGTGGCAATAGACCAATACCTGTTGCAACGGCATAACTTATCCGTGGCAATAGAGTACTGACTAATAATTATGATGAAATTGAACCTATTGCAACGGATGAAGCTAATTAATACAATGATAGGAGTACGTATCTACTGCAACGGATTGATATTTTTTTTTTTTTTGTTGGGATGGGATGGTAATATAATATATGTATAATTAGTCAGTACAAATTAAAATATGCTAACAGAAACAAATTAAAGTATCATTTATATATAATAATTATAATGCGAAATACGTACATTATTGCCCTTAAAGACAAAATCAAATTTCACTAATTAAATTAATTGAGAAAACTACAACGACTACAATCTTTGAGAGGCAAGCGACCAACATTAGCAGGTTAACAACAGCAATAGAGACCAGCAACACAGCAAGTTGTCCCAACATCAACAAGCTCAGCAGAACGACAGCAGCAGCCAAAACCAGGCATGCACAGCACCATGAAGAAAGCAGTACAGTAGCTGACAGTGCAGAACAACAGCAGTAAAAGGAACAGCAACATTAACCAGCCAAAACCAGAACAAGACAGCAACGGAAACTAAGCAACAAACTAGAAGCAAACAGGGAAAAGCAAGTCCAAACCAGGATGCCTTCTTCAACCCTACAACAGCTCAAAACAGCAGAGACAGGCAGAAAAAACAACAACAACAACCAGGCAGCCCAATAGAACCTACACGACAGCAGCCTGCACCTAACAGCCCCACAGGCAACCAAACAGAGACCAGCAAGCAGCTAGCAACACAGAACAACAGAAGCCAGCAGGCCTACAACCTGCATATATCAAAGAAACCCAAAAACCTTATAAAAACACAATCCAATTTCATCAAAATCAAAAAAGAAGATAAACATCCATCATTCCTCTTTTCTCATATATAATTCAATGAGAAATAAAAAGAAGTAAAAAAATACCCGGAGGATGTAGTGGCTACAACAAACAATAAAGTCAAGATCAATAATAAAGGATAATTATTCACATGTTGCTACAGGTTAAAGTTAAAGCCGAAGAAGAATAGCAGCAGCAGCTGCCTAAAACGCATAAAGAGCAACGGTTTTAAAATTTAGTTTGGAATCAAGAGTAAAAACTAAGCAAGAACTCACAAGGGGTTAGAGATATACATATGTAGAACAAACCTGCAATGCAATAAAAAATACAGTATTCATTCAAACTTGCAGTGTTACCGGTGAATATATGTCAATGACATCATCTATATCTTATTAAATTTCTTTCGGGGTACTTACAAATGAATAAGCAAGTGTCATATTTTCATGGAGTAGCTGAGGTGGAATTTTAAAAATAATATATAAAAATAATTAATTCATATATAGACATGTCTCTAAGGAGTAACTGATTTTCATTCTGTCAGACCTTTACTGGTAACTGATTTTCTGTCTCTATTTCGTATCCACATAATCACTACGCTTAAATGAGGCACATCCTATAACACCAAACAACATATAATACGGTATCTCTAATTCGCACTGTATAATGAGGGGTACTTATTAGAGGTAGGCATGGGCCGGGCTGGCATGAAAGTCAATCAAGTATGATAGTAAAATGGACTGACATAGTATGAGTCCGCCACAAGCCTTACCACAGTCACCACAGTTCGGAGGGTATGGATATTATTTTTAAAAGTTGACATGAACATGGCACAAACATGGTATGTCAACCTCCTTTAATAATCTAATTTACCAAACAGTACTAATTTGCTCTTTTTTGTGATTCTCTTGCACTGAACAAAAACTCTTTCCAAAATGAAGCACGGCCCAATACAACAAATACGTCCACCATCTGTGTAACATTCATAATTCCATACAAAAAAAATCTGAACATCTAATCATAATAATTCACAAATTATAAACCCCAAACAAGGGGAAGGAAAGAGAAAAAAATGAACTAAGACCATAGTATACAAGACCTAGAAACCAAATCTCCCAAAGAAAAAAAATTAGAAATCAGAAACTGAGGGAAACCTGAAAGCTAGAAGAAACAGTACAAAGGTCAAAGTTCCAGCAAGTTTGAATTTTTTTTTTATAAAGGACTGAGATGTAGAACACCCCCTCAATTTCACTTTCTTAGGAGCCTTTATTTGATGCGCCATCAACTCCCATCCACCATATATTGCCTCTCACCTTGGAGGGCGGTTATACGATCAGACTTCATATATAGACATATAGTCATATCCTCGACCAAAATTGCTACTTAATAAATTCCACCTCAGCTAGAGCTAAAAGCTATTTATGTCAATTTTTAACTTAAAGCTATTTATGAGAATTCATATTTTATTTCATTAATGAAAAAAAAAAGCTAGAGGTAACATTCGCAAAAAATTTATCTAATGGATGGAAATTATTTTTCAGTGTTTACATGGAGACAAAATGAAAGATTAGGAGGGCGGTTTCAGTTATATAATTAGCTATTGATAGGTAATGATCCCATTAGTTTAGTAAAATAAAAATTGCTAAGGATGTTATATACACAAATGACAGGAGGTATTACCATAAAATACTAATTATGACACTAATATAATTGCAGCTATAAAATTTAGCTGATACAAATAAATGAATTATGCAAACTCTGCAGTTGTGAATTACGGCAGCATAAATCATGAATATAATTATCATTCTCAAATTTCCATTAATATGACAATAACTTGAACCAACAGTAAACTCAAATTCATATAGACAGCTGTTATAATTACTGTGATTAAAACAGATAAAAAAATTTGATTTGAGACGAGACAAGTGCCAAGTGATGAGTGTACAAACTAACATATATACACTTGTATTTCTGCTAAGAATTGCAACACGTCACAATGGCCATTATCAGAAAGTGCAAGAAGACAATAAAAATCATAGAACCATACAGATTTAACAATCAACCCATGTAAGCTATTTCTAGTTCAAAGAAAATATTGTGATTGGAGACATTAGTAGCAATTGTCCCAACATGTAAGAAGATGATAATACAAGAAGCCTCAGGAAAAAGGACAGAAGTTTAATAAGCACCAGTTACTAGACATTATAACACCAACTATAGTAATCTATTGTCATTACCTATACCATAACATTTGCATTACCATAACCAACAAAACAACCAAAAGCACACTTATTTGCAAGTTAAAAATCAACCAATTTTCCAATAATCAGACCAAATCAGAAATTAAAGATAAAAGAAGGAACATGGCAAGAACATAAAGGCGAGAATCCCAAACGAAAGAAATTAACCTCACAGTTCTCGAGGAATTAAATGTTTTACAAACGAAAGAAAGAGAGGTAGAAATGCAATAGAAATAGCGATTATACCTGACTCCATTGTTGAGCTACCAAGCGACCAAGAACACCAGGTCCAACAATTAGCAAATCACTCTCACCAACTACCACGGACGATGATGATGTTCCTGATTAACATTAAATAGTCAATTGATTGAAACTTTTTAAGTGTATAATTGTCGAAATTGGAACAATAATTGAAAGGGAAGAGAAAGTAGCGAGAAAGAGGAAAAAAGAGAGATAAAGATAGAAGGCTTACTCAAAGATCAGGGCACGAAGCTGGAGTTTGAGCGACATTAGCTCAGCAACTCTCCACCACCGCCATCAATTACAAATCAAAACTCACCATCGTTGCTCTCCACCACCGTCAACAGTTACAAATTGAAACCCTAGAAATCGAAAAAAAACAAATTTTTGAATGAATTTTTTCGTGATTTTCACCTCAAAATCGGCCTCAGAATTTTTGTTTTACCTTGCTTATTTATGTGAGATGATGATGGGGAAACTAGAGAATTGGGGGAAATTGAGAAAATGGAGAATTGGGGGAAATTAAGGAAATGGAGAAATAGGGTGAGAATGGGTACTGTGAGAATGAGTGGAGAAAATGGGTGAGAAAAGTAAAAATGTGTTTGTTCAAAATTTTGGTGAAAAAATTAGAGGAAACAATGCGCGCTTCAACCTAGCTAAAATTTTCATGATACAACACTACCGTTGCATTAGCTTTCATTTTTGTTAAAATATCTAGGCTATTGCAACGGTTCTTTAGAGCCGTGGCAATAGCTCTACCTCTAAGAGCATTAGTTTTATATCCGTGGCAATAGCCTACTCTATTGCAACGGCAATAAAAATACCGTTGCAATAGGCTATCTATTGCCACGACATTTGGATAAGGCGTTGCAATAGCTCATTTTTTGGCGTTGTATTTGATCGAAAATGTAGTAGTGAGTGGAGGTCTTAATCTGTGCCTGTGGACCAAGTAGAGGAATCACGTTTGAGGTTCTTTGTCTCCCTTGTTCTTGCTCGATTGCTAGTGGAATCACACTTCAAAGGTATAATTCTTACTCTTTATGTGTTATGCATGAGATCCTTAGTTAGGTGCTACATGAATATGATTCATGATTATTTCCGCTGCGTAGTACCTATAATTCCCTACAGATACACTTTCCAAACCTGGACAATGTTATCCGGTTGCACCGGTCGTATTATCTACACAATGAAGTCGGAAAAATCCTGACCTTTCACTTCCTTTCTAGGTTCAAAAGTGATTTCAAGACTTTGCATTTCAATAGCCCATTTCAACATTCTGTCGGATGATTTCAAGGTAGACATTGGCCGCTTGAGGGGCTGGTCGGTGTAAATTACCACCGGATGGGCCAAAAAATATGGCTTCAATTTCTTGAAGGCCATATACAGAGCAAGGCCAAATTTTTCAACCATGGGATACCGGAGCTCAGCATTTTTTAGAACATGGCTAATGAAATAGACCGGGAGCTGAACGTTGTCTCTCTCAGCAAGGAGAACAACACTGAGGGCATGATCTGAAACGGCTAGGAACATGTATAACACTTCTTAGGAAGTGGGCTAACAAGCCTTGGCAAAGAGTGCAGGTGTTCTTTTAGCCGTTGAAAGGCCGCCTCATCATCATCCCCCCATTCAAATCTGGGCTTCTTCCTGATTGCTTGGAAGAAGTAATGACATTTGTCACCTGACCGGCTGAGGAACCTCCCCAATGCCGCCAGGCAACCGGTTAGTCTTTGCGCTTCCTTGATAGTGCGAGGTGACTTCATGTCAATTACTACCTGTATCTTCTCAGGGTTAGCCTCTATCCCCCCTCTGATCATCAGGAATCCGAGAAACTTCCCAGACTCAACACCAAAGACGCATTTCTTAGGATTTAACATAACCTTATGTCGCCTGAGTGTGGTGAAGGTTTCTCGGAGATCAGCAAGGTGATCCGCCTGCTGCTTAGATTTGACTATCATGTCATCTATGTACGCCTCCACATTCCTCCCAATTTGATTAATGAAGACCATATTAATCATTCGCTGGAATGTAGCCGGCGCATTTTTCTAGCCAAATGGCATCACCGTGTAACAGAATAACCCCTGATCAGTGACGAAGAATGTCTTCTCTTGATCTTTCTTCCACAGGGGTATCTGATGGAAGCAAGAGTAGGCATCCATGAAACTCATCGAGGCATGCCCTGCTGTCGATCGACCAGACTGTCAATCTTAGGAAGCGGATAACTGTCCTTGGGACATGCCTTGTTGAGGTCTGTGTAATCAACACACATACGCTAGGTACCATTCGGCTTCTTCACAAGCACTACATTCGCCACCCAGTCGGGAAAATTACAAGGCCGAATGAACCCAGCATTTAACAACTTTTTAACTTTGGCAGCTGCCGCCTGACTTCTTTCTTCACCGTGATTTCTTTTCTTTTGCCGGATGGGCTTTTTTTAGGATCCACGGCGAGTTTGTGAACAACAAGATCCGGGCTGACGCTTGGAAACTCTTCCACTTCAAAGGCAAAAATGTCTTTGAATTCTTTTAGCAGAAGGTACAAGTCTGCACCCAACTTAGCATAAGCAACTGTCCTAACCTTTACAGTACGCTCCGGACGGCTGTCATCTAGAGGTATATCAACATGTTCTCAAGCCGGTTGGGGTCGGAGCTCATCTGACCGTTCACCGGTCAGTGATTGCTATTTTTTCTCTTTCTTTACCTCCACCAGCAGAGGTGCCTTTCTTTTCTTTTCGGCTGCTGGTGGGGCTGGTACTGGGTCGGCATCATTGACATTGTCAAGTTCTATTGGTTCCTGGCCGTCTGGGGCCACAATATCTTTGACGGCTGAGAGATAGGACTCCCGGGCCGTCTTCGGATCCCCATTCAAGGAACCAACAGAGCCGTCATCCCTCCCATACTTGATGAGCATGAGGGAAGGGATGAACACAGCCTTGGCTTCGTTGAGGGTTGGCTGGTCCAAAATAATGTTGTAGGCGGTCAGCTCCTCGATGACCAAGAATTTGACGACCAGGTGTCGCCATTTTCCTTTCTCACCCATCCGGATTGGTAAATAAACCCTTCCGACTAGGTAAACCATTCCACCCCCAAAACCAACCAAGGGGTTGGTAACCGGATGCATGCTGCTAACATTGTATTTCAGCTTTTGCAGGCACCGGAGGCTAATGATGTTTGATGAGTTGCCGGTGTCAATAAGGATCCGTCCAACCAGCTGGTTGGCAACCTTACATTCAATGACAACCGGGTCACCATGCGGACAACGGACGCTGCCCCTGTCCTACTCAGTGATTAGGACGTCTGGGAAGGAGGAGCTAGCAGACGCCTGCTCATCATCATCTTTGCCTATCTTTCGAAGATGGCTCTTGGTGCCTCGGATGGTTGGGCCACCGCATGAGAACCCGCCAGCTATTGTGTAGATCGGCTCCTTGTTAGTGTCCGAACTACTAGCCGGCTGGGGTGTCTTAGACGACTGCCCCGAGTTCTTCTTATTAGTCCCTTTGGACTTAGAAATGTAGGACTTTAACATCCCCTTGTCAGCCAAACGGTCCAACGCCTGTTGAAGGCCTTAAACAGTCGTTGGTGTCATGGCCAACTTCCTCATGGTATTGGTAGAATTTATTTTTGTTCCTTGATTGAATGATACTCTTCATTGGATTCAGCTTCTCTAGGGACAGCCGGTCCATAATTTCCATGCGGATGGAGTTGCAGTCCTTGTTAAACTCGTACTTAGGAACGTACGGTTTAAATTATTTCTTCTTCTTCTGGGACGGCTGGTCAGAGTCACTAACCGCCCAGATTTCATTTCTTTTCTTGCTCTCTTCTTTCTTTTTGGTCGGCTAAGCAGGCCGGCTGTCTTTTAGCTTGTCAGACTTCTTTGAGTCCGACTGATTACAAGGTGAGTAGAGGTCGGTTGCTTGAATGTAGCTTTCCGCCTCCCTCAGGGCCGCCTATAAAGTGAAAGCCCCTTTTATGACTAGGTCGAACTTAAAAGTTGACCCGTCACTCAGACCCTTGAAAAAGTCTTTAAAAGCTACCTCATCAGACATTCCTTGGATCTGAATTCAAATCAGATTGAACCGCCTGACATAGAAGCGCAACCCTTTTCTATCCCCCTGCTTAATGGTGCTCAAGTCAAGACTTGTTTTCTTAGCAGGGATGTTCATTAAGAAGTTGGAAGCAAAAATGAAGGCAAGCTTCCTGAAACTATCAATGGACCCGGCTGGCAAGTTGCCAAACCATTGTTGGGCAATGCCCTTCTAAGTAGCCGGGAAGCATCGACACCAAGTGACATCATCCAACACTTGTAAGTGCATGAGGTTTGTATATGCCATGAGGTGATCTTCCGGGTTGGTGGTACCGTCATAGGTACCTACCAACACATTTTTAACCTTGGCCAGCTATGCCGCCTCGGTTATCTCCCGGGTGAACGCACAAGGTTGTTCACCCAGGCGGAGCAGACGGAGCTGCCAGTCCAGTGGCTGGACTGTGTTTTATGCCGCCTGACCTCCGGAGAAGGCCAGCTGCATGAAATGAGGAGGATATTAACCGTAGACCTGATAAGGTACATATGGCACAGTCTCAATCATTTGAGGGCCAGAATGGACGGTATTACCACCTGTCTAGCTCTCATGCAGGGAAGGTGCATTCCCTGCAGAGGTGTTGTTGAAGCTGTCTGGAAAGTTCAACGTAGAAACCGACTCAGACAACTGCTGATTTCTCTTGTGTGTGATGATCTCCCGGGCATCAAGAGTTGATTTTTTGCTTCCCACCGGCTGTTGAGTCCGGCGAGTGTTGTTGGTATTCCTCTTAGGAAGAAAAATTTTGGACCAATCAATGGTCCCGGCTACCTTCTCCTTTGGATAAGGAGTCGGCTGCCGATCTCTAACTGAATTCCCCTTTTCCAGAGGAGTCTTCTTAGCCGACTGACCCCTGCTTGGGCCAACCCGGCTTTTAGTGATCAATTCTTTAATTTCACCCTTTAAAACTTGTCATGAACCTCATGAGTTCGTCTCGGGTGACGGGTGCTGATCCAGCTGCCATTTGGGTTTCCCTTTCGGCCTGCCCAAGAGGTCGACTAGTACCGGTCTGGGTGACACCCCGCTCTAGAGTGTCTCTGGGCCGGATGCGCTTCGTTATCAGAGAGCCATCATTGGCTGTATAAGTTTCGACCTGAGGATCTTCATCCTCCTGGTCTGTGAAAACTTCCGGGTCATCGCCCAGACGGTTAGGAGGTGGTACAGACTCTTGAACCATCTTCGAGGTAATCTCCCCACAGACGGCGCCAAATGTTTTGGGTGTTTTTGTCCCTCGAGAGAGTTACATCATGAAGTCTGATCCG